TTTCCAGGAGGGAACCAGCAGGAGGACGCTGCCATGGCGCCCTGCCAAAGGGAAAAGCCAGGGCGCTCGCCCGCTCGAACAAACAGAAGACTCTGAATCGTCCTGAATAAATATTGTACAACTTAACGGTCAAATGGTGTTCAGTGTCTTCATTATTCCTTTTATTTATTATCTGTGTGGTAAAAGTAAATTCAGTGGGGACAAAAATGAGCCCTGTCTTCTTAGTTCAACGCTGTATGCCTGCTGCGTCCAGGTCCTGCCTTGGCTACGTTCCGATTGGGACAGATTAGCCCTAACTTGTGTGTTAAAAGTGTCACGTGGGATGCCCTCGTCCAGGTTCTGCCTTGGCTACGTTCCAATTGGGACAAACTATCCCTGCCTTGAGTGTTAAAAGTGACTCGCGGGACGCCCCCGTCCAGGTTCAGCCTTGGTTGATAGCTCATAGGGAGAATGAATCCCTTTTCCAGCACAAGGGGGTGATGGGCTGGACAAATCTGTCCAGGTCTGCAAATGCTTTGAACGCCCAGAAGGCCTTGAGTCCAATTCTGTATATTAGCAAGCTTCTCCCGGGACAGCTCGGTCCTTAGAGATGCATGAATAGGTCAGGACAGGGCAGCTGTGGAGTGGAGGTTAACTTTATGGAGAAACTATAATCGCTTACGCACTGCTTAATACACACAAGAGAGCAATAGGCAAATATCTTTACATATGAAAATATTTAAATATTAAGGATATATATAGGATATAATAAGAATAGATATAGGATATAAATATAAAGGATTAAAATATTACAAAACATTATTTTCTAGCCTACATAAATATGAAAAATCACTGCTTTTATGTCTTCTTCATCTCGGGAGGCTTTTTCAGTTCATTCATAACAATTTGCTTTTTTATAATGTTATTATTATTAGCAGTATTATTTATTATATCCATATTTATATTTGTTTTATTAAAAACAAGCTTAGATTTGTCCACCTGTCAGGTTTTAGACCATATGGGGCACGGCAGGTGTATTTAGAAATAACTCAGTATTTTGACCATACTTGGTCATTATTGTTAATTTATTAGTTTGCTGGAAATTAGAATTGAATTTAGAAATAGTTTTGAAACAAATCTTTGTGCTTAACAAACAAAATTAATTATTTATAGACTAATTGATGTCTGTGTGTAAAGGTTTCCCTCTCCAAGAGCGAATGTGAAAGTAGTTCTATTATCTCTCATTCTCACGCAGTAGATGCTCTGTTTAACAGTTTTCTGTTAAAAAACTGTCAACTGTTACCTGTTTGCCAGTGAAATGCTAATTTTTTCCCCTTAGACTTACTTTGCGTCCTGTAAATAGCGAATGCGCTCTTGGCGCGACGCAGCTGACTCTTAAAGGGAATGGGAGATGAGACTCTAATTGGTTTATTCTCAAAACACACCTATAACTCATTAAGAAAATAAACTCAACCCTTTTAGATCATGCACCTTGGCGCAAAGCAGATTTTCCCGTCCGTAAATTAGCAAAAATGCGTTCTGACACGCCCTGAAAGCGTTTGTGCCCTGCGTTTTGCGCTCTGCGCATGGACCGTCAAAATAGAGCCCAAGGTCTGTCTAGTCTGTCTATTTGATGACTAGTCTAGTTTTGGGCTATTCTTAGACGTCTATTAGATTTTCGCTCACAGCCCAATTTTAGCCTTGTTTTAGCCAAGCTGTTAACATTTAGATGTTTGTTAAACACAAAATTGCTTGCTGGGTACATTCTCAATTTTGTACATTCTAATTTCCATATGTACCTCATGTATCTAGTGCTAGTCCTTTATATTGCTTCTGCAGCTATCTTAAAGCTGCCTTTAAAAATGTGTTGTTTTTTTCATTCACTACATCGACCACAAGAGCTTATTTGTTTGATTAGATCAGACGTGTCAACACTCAGACCTGGAGGGCCGGTGTCCTGCAAAGTTTAGTTCCAACCCCAATCAGACACACCTGGGTTAGCTAATCAAGCTCTCACTAGGCTTTCTAGAAACATCCATGCAGGTGTGTTGAGGCAAGATGGAGCTGAAATCTGCAAAACACCTGCCCTCCAGGACCGAGTTTGGACACCCCTGGATTAGATTGATAACATTAGATTTACAAGTTTGATGCTTTAGAAATATGGCATGGTGAGGATATCTACTGGTTACAAATGTAAATACAACAGGAATAGCTGATCAAAAGCTGAAATAATTTTGGAAGTTCATCAGAGTGATGATTCTTTAAGCAGGAGCAGACCTTATTTTCATCACTTTTAAACTTTAGATTAAATAAAGAATGTTTCTGTTCCCTGCTGTAGCTGTAAATACAGTTATTGTTATATTTCTACTTATCATTACTGAATGGCAAAAAAACCTTTATGAATAATGAGTGACTGGTTTGTGCTTATCACTTCAAGTGTTGCCACCCCTTTACTATATGACACCTCCACCTAACACCACCCTTAAATTTTTGTCTTTTCTTTGGCTTAGTACCTGATTTAAAGGGCCCCGAAACCCCCCTGTTTCAGCAGGGTGTTTTTTACACTTTAAGTTTGTAAAAAGTCAGGAAAGTGGCTCTGTTTAGGGGGGAGTGTAAGAGGAGGGAAAGAGGGAAGGTGTATAAAATTTGCAGAAAAATGGGAGTTTCGATTTGGGCACACGCTGATTTTCACAGAGGCAAAACAATCACACAGACGCAGAGAAGAAAGACAGTGACTGTGTTTACATGGACATCAGTAATCAAATTATTGGACAAATGATTAAACGTTTGACTTTAACTGCAGTTTGGCTCTTTCATTCAGGAACATTTCAATCATGCTTCTCATGACACGAGATATTTGATTCGAGGAATTACTAAAAGTGTTTAATTTTAACGCAAAGTTTAATAACGCACGGCATGATTGAATGCAGCACACTCAGAAACATCACAAAGTACTGCCAGGTACTGACAGCCAGTCCACACGCTGGAATACACGCTCTAAATCAAGGATCTAATCGATGTGACGCAGCTTAAAAAAATTGTTTTAAACTGGAAGAACGAATTTGCTCGAAATAACACAAAAACAACAAATTTTCACTTTTTAATCAAATATATGTGTCCTAATATTGTTTTAGCATTATGGGACACATCTACGACTGTCGGCAGCTAAAAAAATGTCTTTTGGTGTTTCGTGCCCCTTTAACAGTTGCATTTTACAGGTATTTTCTGTGTACACGAAACACCCATAAAGAAACTTAACACAGAGGAACCTAAAACCTGCTGCAGCAAGGGTTTTACAAGTTTTATTGCTGAGCAACACAAACAGAATGCAGACTAGGGGTGTCAAAATTAATTGTTTCTTCGGTGCACCACGATGCAGACGCGGACAATTCTGTATCGATTCAGTAATAACCATAACCGGTTATTATGTCGTGACGTCATTTATCTCCTATGCGCTCTGTCGCGAGGGAGGTGAGCGCCGTTATTTACAACACTCAGCCAACTCAGGGCCAGCCCGTGGCATAGGCACCATAGGCAAATGCTAAGGGCGCTGTATATCCAGGGGGGCGCCAGAAATGAGCAAGTGGTGCTCGCTGCAGAGCCATTTGACGAGAGCTGAGCTCCAGCGAGGGGGAGCTTAAGCTTGAGCTCCACCTTTTTTGCACTTCTTCTACGAGTGATGTCACTGGGGGTAGGGTTAGGGGTGGGGTTGGTGTACGCATTAAAACAGCTTACAGGAGGAGGAGCGACAGCTCATGCTCCCCCTCGCTGGAGCTCAGCTCTCCTCAAATGGCTCTGCAGCGAGCAAGCGCGCTTCAGTTGGTTTTATCTTCGATTTTCCTGACACACATTCAGTTATAGACGGCAATAACTCAAAAAACGCTTACCCTAAAAAGATCTAAAGTGTGTTTCCTACAGAAAGACAAAGCTGGTTATGTTTCACAGCTGTCTTTCTTTTTTTTCGCTCGACATTACGAACACTGCTCCGTTTAAGCCCTCGCAGTCTGCGTTTACTTTAGCCGGCAGATATCGCGTTGAGAGGAGCACTCTGTAAGGGACCGTCGGAAAAGTGCTTATTTTTTTTCGTTCTTTTCGTTTTTCTGCTCCGCTCAGCGCGAGCTCTCCCTGTTGCGAGGGCTTAAGTGTGTTTGTTTGTGTGTGTTTGCGTGTGTGTGTTTGTTTGTTTGATGCTGTCTATGTTTGTGAGTGTGTTTGAATGAGAGACAGTGTGTTGCTGTGTGTCTGTGTGTTTATACAGACAGCATGTTATAGCCTCCCCCCTAAAATATAACACTATATATGGAAAGCATCGTCAATGCACCGTGATGCACCAAGATATGGAATTGAACCGAATCGATGGCATGATAATCATAACCGAACCGAACCGTGAGACCAGTATAGGTTCACACCTCTAATGCAGAAGTATTAATGCACGGCTCCGTGCAAAGCTTGTGCTGTGGGTTACGGCAATCACTTGATGCAGAAGTACAATTGAGCCTTAACTTCTTGTTTTTTGTTTCTTTTCCTATTAATTAAAGCTTTTGGGTCCTCGCTCATCTTCCTTTACCCCAAACCCTGATAGTACAGACTAGCCAGAAAGAGAACCCAGCAAACTGTTGCTTGGATGTAAAGGAGTTTGTGAAGATCTTCCATGAAGCAGCTTAGGGGCTGGGATTAAATGACTGCACTCCTTTAAACCTCTTAGATGATGGGTAGGGGGGCTTTTTATATCAACAGTTTTTGGACCTCTGGTTTGTCAAACAGCCCAAAAAGGGCCTCCAGAGAAAATCTGGACGTTCTTTCCACCCGCAAACCATCTTGGTCCTAGCTTCCTGTTGTTCCCCACTTAGAAGAGGAGCTAGAGGAGGGCCTCCTCAGCCTTAGAATGCCTGCCAGTGTTGGCTCCAGAGTGGTTTCAGGTTCCTTGCCCTGCCAGCCCTAGCCCGACACAGACCTCCAGCTGCAGACACCTTACTACATACCCTTTCATAATTTAGCATACAGATATTGTAGAGACTCACTGTAGTGGACGATGTCCTGCATCTTCTTCCAGACTCTGTATGTCAGGTTCCCCAAGTAGCCAGCCACATGAATCAAAGCTCCAGAAGGCGTCTGTGGATCCGGCTGTGAGATCTGGACTCTGGAGGAACATTCAGGAGTCAGAACTGCAGGATTCAGAAGCAGAGAGAGCAGAGACACCAGCAGATCACTCACCTTTCCATCGAGACTGGAAACTCCTGCAGAACAAACACACAACTGATCATCAAGAGCTCAATCCATCATCAATCAATCAATCACTGATCTGAAATCAGACCTTTAGAAAGCAGACGTCCTTGGCTTTCAGCATCTCCTCCGTGTCTTTGATCGTGTGTGAAAGAGCTGAGATGTGTGTGTTCATCTCCTCCAGCTTCTCCTTCATCATCTGCTTCTTCTGCTCCTCTTCCTCCCTCAGTGCAGTGATTGTAGCTTCTTCTTCATCTCGGAGAAACTGATGAAGCTTCTCAAACTCATGCTTAACCTGACGCTCTGTGTGATCGGCTTGAGACTGAAAGCAAACCACAGAGACATTTAATAATCAAAAGTCACGACACATCAACATAACAACATAAATATCCAAAATAAACTCAGACAGTCAACAGACCCAGAAGCCTAATGATGTTTATTATTAGCAAAAGGAATACATTATTTTAAAAATAACAAGTCATTTATTTAATAGTGTCTCCTGCGGCTGCAATGAAAATGTTTGAATTGAAATGTTTCCTCACCTTGATGTGTTGAACTGTTTTCTCAAACTCTGCTTTCCTTTCTTCATTGCGTTTCAGTTTCACTTGTAAAGACTTCAGTGCTGTATTGAGCTCCTCCTGAAAATTAAACAATTTAAAAACAAATAAAATGCCAAATGACTGCGATGAGAAGTCATTTGGTGCTGTATTCAGCAGAATTTCCTACTAAACTGATTCAGAAATGAATATCTACTGTAAAGTAAAACAAGGACAGTTTCTGGTCTATGAAACTGCATTCATTATGTTGTAAAAGAGGAAAGATGCAACAAGTCTGATTACTGACAATAGTGTCAGTGCAGTCAAACTGATAGAGCTTCAGGCAATATAAAGCAGCTTTATTTATTTTTTATTTTTTTTATGTTGCCAAACTAATGCAGTCAGTCAAAACCCACCACAGCAGTGAAATACATGATCACAGTTATCATTGTTTGGATCATGGGATGGCGTCATGGTGGCGCAGGGGATAGCTCGATCGCCTCACAGCAAGAAGGTTGCTGGTTCGAGCCTCGGCTGGGTTAGTTGGCATTTCCGTGTGGAGTTTGCATGTTCTCCCCCGATGGCGTGGGTTTCCTCTGGGTGCTCCCCACAGTCCAAACACATGCACTTTAGGTGAATTGAATAAGCTAAATTGGCTGTAGTGTGTGTGGGAATGTAAGAGTGTGTTTCCCAGTGTTGAGTTGCGGCTGGAAAGGTTTCCACTGCATAAAACATGTGTTGGATGAATTGGCGGTTCATTTCGCTGTGGCGACCCCTGATTAATAAGGGGACTCAGTCAAAAAGAAAATGAATGAATGTTGGCATTGCATTTTGTTTGATGACTTAAAATTAGCACGAGCATAACAATAAATAGATGTTTGTCATTTTAGGATGAATAAAATAGCTGAGAAAAATATTGAGAGCATGAATGTGCTGTTATCTGTGCTTCTGACCAATTACTGTTCTTTACATATTCAATTCAGTTCAATTTGTTTATTGTCATGTGCACAGTAAGGAAAGAAGAAATTGTAGAATTGGCAACAATGAAATTACATGTATATATACATGTCTATGAACGTAAACAATATATAATATTGATTGTGGAGTAATGTTGTAAACAGATGTTAGTATATGAATAAAGAAACTCTTGTCTTACCTTGTATGAAGAAGCCACTTCACTGATGGGTCTGAATTTGTGATTGTCGTGTTGTTGTAAAGTAACACACATCACACACACAGGCTGTTTGTCCTCCAGACAGAAGAGTTTGAGTTTCTCACTGTGTAAACTGCAGATCTCCTCAGATGCTGATGAACATCTCTCATTTCTCTCCTTCAGGAACAACTCACACAGGTTTTTTAATGCAAGATTAACTGGAGGTTCACCTTTTGAAGATCTTCTCCGGCAAACAGGACACTCCTGAGTTGTCTTGGTTCTCCAGTACTGTTGAAGACACTCTTTACACACACTGTGACTGCATGATAAAACTACAGGATTCTTGAAGATTTCACAGCACACAGGACAAGAAAGATCTTCGGATACATTTAGTGAAGCCATTTCCACAGTTTGAGCTCCAGAAATCTGAACCTGACTTTCACTTTCTGAATGGCGGCTTCAAAAGTCAATCACTAAGATCTTTGCCTTCATTATTTGCTGATTTCTGATTCTTTTTTAAATCCAGTACAGAAATAAAGAGAGTCAGTGTGACAGAAAGCAGAAATAACAAGCCAGTCTTTTCCTGGACAGAACTGTAAAATACTGGACTTTTGATCTCATTTGGGTGTGGTAAAAAAGGTCAAAGATTGCACAAGGATTTTCAGGTAAAATAATAAGTCACAGAAGAAACACAGCTATTAAAAAGACCTTTAGGATTACTAGAACACCAACAAAACAACAACAACAAAACTTGTTTATTCATGTTGAAATATATATATATATATATATATATATATATATATATATATATATATATATATATATATATATATATATATATATATAATAAAAGGAGAGAAAATATGGCTCACTTGTAAAATGTACAAGATAGGCTTCATATGTCAGTTCGGAGCCTTCTTTTATGTATATTTGGAGAATGAGCAAGGTTTATCACTCATTGCTACAGATAAACTACAATTCTTCTGAAACTATAAATATGAAATATAATAATATTAACAGCAATAATTCTATGTGTGTTTACTGAGGAACTGGATGGGCTGCTGCCCTCATTCCTTAACTAATAGTATTAGATGACATTAACATAGATCTGGAGAAAACGCATATAGACCTTGACTCTACCTCACTGGATCATTTGATCTACCACTACAAGTACACCAATCAGCTTGACCAAATATAGGCAAGGTATTGCACTTCAGAAAACCATTTAGTTTTACCAGAGCTCAGATCTCTTTACATCATTAGTTTTAATTTAAAACCTTATACAGGTATACAACCATCATTCCAGCTGGTTTCTTTTTAATGATTTCTTATATCTATGCTTTTTTTTCCCTCCACCTAATTCTCCTCTAGACTTGCCTTTCCCTAGACACTTTCTCCTGACGCATTCCCAGGCAAGCCGAGAGACCCTTCAGGGTGTCTTGTGTCTTTCTCAGGACTTCCTCCATGTGAGACAAACCTGGAACACTTCCCTGGGTAGGCATCCAGGGGACATCCAAATCAGATGCCCGAGCCACTTTTTCTCAATGTGGAGGAGCTACATTGTAGGATACTCCGAGCTCCTCTTGGGTGACAGAGCTCCTCATCTATAAGGATGTCACCTTTTCCTGATGGAATCTCATCCCTGCCATGACACACTCGGCAGCAAACTCTCCCAGTTCATGCTGAAGATCTATGTCTGATTAGGCCAACAGAACAACATCATCTGCAAATAGCAGAGATGAAATTCTGTAGTCCCTAAACAATTATGAACAGAACCGGTGACAAAGGTCAATACTGCTGGAGTCCAACATGTATCTGGAACAAGTCTGACTTATTGCCGGCAATGCGAACCAAATTCCTGCTCAGTTCATGCAAGAGCCTGTACAAAGTGCCTCCGACCCCATACTCCCAGTGCACCCCCCACAGAATGCCACGAGGGAAACAGTCGAATGCCTTCTCCAGGTCCACAAAACACAAGTGGGCTGGTTGGGCATACTCCCAAGCACCCTCCTAGTGATGTTATAGAGTTGGTCCAGTGGTCCAAAGCCTAGATGAAAACTCCATTGTAAGGTAAATGTGTGTTTGGCATTCTGTCCCGAGAGATAGCATGGGCTGTGGCTTGGGGAGGGTTTGGAGGAATCAGAAAGTTTTGGGGGTGTTGGATAGAAAGTGAAGCAGGGAGTGAGGGGCTGGTGGAAAAGCTTGAATGGGGGGCTGGTGGTTGGCTGGTTGGGTAAGGACTTGAACCAGTGAAGTCCTTTAGCTGGGAGGGAATCCGCTGCTTAAAGCATATGCTGGATAAGTTGGAGGTTCATTCCGCTGTGGCGACCTCAGATTAATAAATGTAATGTAATGTGTAATGTAATGTAATGTGTATTTATATAGTGCATTTATTGTGTATGGCCATACACCCAAAGCGCTTTACAATCATGAAGGGGGGGGGGGGGGGGGTAGGGTATCTCCACACCTCCACCAGTGTGCAGCATCCACTTGGATGATGCGACGGCAGCCACAGGACATCGACGCCAGTGCGCTCACCACACACCAGCTATTGGTGGAGTGGAGAGACAGTGATAGAGCCAATTCGGTGGAAGGGGATGATTGGGAGGCCATGATCGAATGGGCCGATAGAGGGAGTTTGGCCAGGACACCGGGGTTACACCCCTGCTCTTTCACGAGAAGTGCCATGGGATTTTAATGACCACAGAGAGTCAGGACCTCGGTTTAATGTCTCATCCAAAAGACGGCACCCACTGACAGTATAGTGTCCACTTCACTTTTACTGGGGCATTAGGACTCACACAGACCACAGGTTGAGCACCCCCTGCTGGCCTCACTAACACCACTTCCACCAGCAACCTGGTGTTCCCTAGTGGTCTCTCATCCAGGTACTAACCAGGCTCAGCCCTGCTTAGCTTCAGTGAGTAACCGGTCTTGGGCTGCAGGGTGATATGGCTGGAGACTAAGCCAAAAAAAAAGAATGAATGAATTAGTTTAAAGCCACCAGAAGTAGTAGTCACAGGATCTAGTGACAAAACAAGTATTTGTTCTCTTTTTGTTTTCTCGTACAATTATCTCAATTTTATTACATTATCAATCATTTGAAGAGGCAGAATCAGGTTTAACTCTTACAGACATGGTTATGCAAAGACATAAAATTATTCTTGATATTTTTTCTTTTTACATAAATACAATGTTACTTTGGCTTCTTGTTTATTGATCTGTTGTCTAAAAGTGATTTGACAATGTCAGTGTGTCTGCAGTGCTGGACCAATCACAGATCAACAACACTCTCACTCATGTAATGTGGATTATATATAAAAGAAGATTCAAACCTACAGGTGTAACTTTGACTGACTACTCAACGGTAAGATCCTCAGAGAAGAAAACAAACCACAATAGAAGAAAGGAAAGACAGATTCAGTGAAGGTGGTTGTGAATGTGTGTAGATGTGTGTTTGTAAGAGGATCAGAGAAAGACACTGTTCCTCTGTCACAGTCCAGATCAACTCTCACACGCTCAAGTTCCTGTTTAACAGTATAGCCAGACCTTACAGTACAACCATACCCCAGACTCCAGATACCAGTGGTAAAGAAATCACCACCCTTGATCTGGTTTGATGCTGTAGTTACTCCAAGACTCCAGTATAAAGTCTCTTTGACCTCCACATCCCAGCAGTGTTTTCCTGAGGTAAAACCCTCTGAACCCAGAATGCAGGAATAACAGTCAAATCTCTCTGGATTATCAGGAACAGGTTGATCCTTTCCACTGTATTTCACACTGGTCAGATCATCAGACAGGACGAGACGTGGATGAGCAGTGTTTGAATCCAGAATCACAGGAGCTGAAGAGACACAATCAACAGCTGATAAGATGTTCTTCTAATGATTAAGAGGGAAACAAACAGATTATTATGATTTATGAAACCCGACCTTTTGATCAAACACATCATCCTCTGATCAACTAATTAAAGTAAAAAACACACAGGAGGTTGTTATCACAGAATGAAGCCTGATAGCCTTACCGCAATCTGACACATAGGGGAGAACTGTTGAATAAGACAAAATATTAGAAGAAAATTATATTTTAGAAAAATCAATTAATAAATAGATCAGAATAATCGACCCATTGAGATATAAATTCTGTGCATAAAACTCAATATCTTTAACATTTATTATCAAGCTCAATCAGACTTGCATTTAGGCAAGGGAACATGATATCTCTGTTACCTTCAGTCAATCACTATGAGTTATGTTTAAAATTTGACTAGGGCAAATAAAAATTTTTAACTATAAAACTATAAAAAAAACTATAAAAAAATTCACAGCATCTGAATCTGTTGCACATTTGGGTGTGAGCACAACATCCAGAAAGGTGCAAGCATCCAATGTCCCTTGGCCCTAATTACCTAATATTGGTAAAATAACTTGCGAAGTTGTACTGACGTTTATGCCCAACTAAACTGAGCTACAGCTTCTGGTTCCAAAAGGGAAGGACACTGTGGAGTTCACATGCAACCTTAACAAGGAGACCTTGTAACAAAATACAAAAATGGACTAAATCTGTCTAGGGGGAGCACAACATATTAGCCGATACATGGGTTCATCTATGGAGCACATATGTGTACACCGCACATAGCTGGCACCAATCCTTAGAACACTGTGGGCATACTAGACATCTCAGAACCAAGCCGAGTCAGCTCCTCTACTGAGACTGGTGTTGTGGCACTTCGATGAACTCTCTAGGGTTGACTAATGGGGAAGCAAAGCAGTATAAGAACATGTATTTCTGGGTTATGGAGCATGGTGCAACAAGCATTTTTGACACAAAGCTTAGATTCCTCTTGGATGACTTGCATTATCGAGTAACTAAGAGAAACCAGCTTCACTCTGAGATTGTAACACCTTGTGAGAGTGTTTTAGGTGTCACCCAGCCTGCGGCTCTAGAGATGTTCGTTAGTGTGCTCTCACCCCTGGAGTGTAAGGCTCACCCTAGATATGAAAAGCATAGGCAATGGGATCCACAATCCAGTGGGCCAACCTCTGTTTGGATATGGCACTCCTCTTCTGTCAACCACAAAAAACTTAAAAAGAGCTGCTCAGAGGATGCTGTGCTCTAAGTGTGGTCTACATAATTGTGATGTCTGCGAATAGGACACTGCAGTCAAAGGGCTTTGTTTGCTTCCTCCAGGGGTAGTGCTTGCAGGTTCACTACCTGCTCCATGATAAGAATGGTAAGTACCTAGGGCACATAGCCAGGTCAGAGTCTCAGGACAACATGAGAGTTAACCAGCCCAAATTGAAGCCAAAGTTTGTTGATCCTACTGCCTATGGGAACTCAACTCTTCTCAAAGAAGCCAGCATGATCAGCAAAGCTGTCTTTAAAGACAAAAAATCCAAAAAGATACTGAATTAAGTGGCTCAAACAGCTCTCTCTGCACTCTGGAGAGGACTACAGAGATCCCAAGAGGGAATGAGAGGCATGCAAGATGGATTCAGTTTCCTAGCGCTTCTGAGGAATCAGATAACCAGGTCATGCCTCCCAAACATCTTGTGTAGAGCTGCAATCTGGGCGCTGGAGGCTTGAGAATGCTGGATGTCTGTTGTGGAAAAGCTGCAGGCCTGAGTTGGTCACTGACGGGTGTTCAGGCTCGCCTACGGGATCAATGTGGACACTCATCTGTCACTGGAGTCTTTAAAGGAATCAGTCTCGACTATCTATGACCACAACAGTCACCTGCTCAAGTTACTGGATGGATCCAAGACTATGTACACTTTGTGATATGGACTAACGCAAACATAGATGCCATTCAAATCAAAAAAATCTTTTAGGAAGTGTTCTCAGCACTTGTAAAAAGTACATGGAGTCAAAAAGACCTTCATATTACACAATGACAAGAAATTAAATAGGTTGAGCCACCACACATGTTAAAAGTAACAAGCAAAAGTTGACTGCAATTGCCTTTTCCACCAGGAGAATGGCCACATACAATTCGGTGTGGTGAGAGCAGAGCAGCTTCCAGACTGGGCAGATTGGCTCCTTGTGCACCTCTGGAAAAGAAAGGTTTTACTCATTTCTTAGTCGCCACATATCTAAATGGACCAGCTGCAGAGCTGGAGGCTGTGGGACCTCTAACCCAAACACAGTGGCCACTCGAGAAAGCATAGCATTGATCTCAGTGTTGAGGTCTGGGACAGCAGGCACTCCTAAGGGTGGAGGAGATCCCAGGCTCTCCTCTGGTAGGGACAGCTCACCCTCTCTCACCACCTACTTGCCAGACTCATTGAATGACAACATGGCCAGCCTAGAGGATCTGCCAGCAAGATAATCTAAATACCAATGGGGTAGACTGATGAGAAGTGGGATTACAATGAGGGGTTGAGCTGTAGTTACGCTCCAATTGTAACCATCAGTTTCCCTTGAGGGTTCAACATTATATATATAATTTAACATATAATATATAAATATTCATTACATATGAGAACTATAAACTTTTCAAATACTTTAGTGAACAGTGTCTGTGTGTGAGCACAGATGTAGAGACTCACTGTAGTGGACGATGTCCTGCATCTTCTTCCAGACTCTGTATGTCAGGTTCCCCAAGTAGCGAGACACATGAATCAGAGCTCCAGAAGGCGTCTGTGGATCCGGCTGTGAGATCTGGACTCTGGAAGAACATTCAGGAGTCAGAACTGCAGGATTCAGAAGCAGAGAGAGCAGAGACACCAGCAGATCACTCACCTTTCCATCGAGACTGGAAACTCCTGCAGAACAAACACACAACTGATCATCAAGAGCTCAATCCATCATCAATCAATCAATCACTGATCTGAAATCAGACCTTTAGAAAGCAGACGTCATTGGCTTTCAGCATCTCCTCCGTGTCTTTGATCGTGTGTGAAAGAGCTGAGATGTGTGTGTTCATCTCCTCCAGCTTCTCCTTCATCATCTGCTTCTTCTGCTCCTCTTCCTCTCTCAGTGCAGTGATTGTAGCTTCCTCTTCATCTCGGAGAAACTGATGAAGCTTCTCAAACTCATGTTTAACCTGACGCTCTGTGTGATCAGCTCGAGACTGAAAGTAAATCACAATCACCTTTAGTAAACTTTATTAATCAACATCACATAACAAATATACAAAATAAACTAATGCCAACTAATGTTTATCACTAAAAGCATTGACTGCTATTAATCTTAATATACCATGAGTTATAATAGTGTCTCCTGCAGCTGCAATGCAAATCATTCAGCTTGAGACTGAAAGTAAATCACAAACACCCTAAGTAATCTTTAATAACCAACATCACTTTATAAATATGCAAAATAAACTAATGCCAACTAATGTTTATCACTGAAAGCATTGACTGCTACACATTAATCTAATTGAGTTATAATAGTGTCTCCTGCAGCTGCAATGCAAATCATTCCTGGTTGTTTTTCCTCACCTTGATGTGTTGAACTGTTTTCTCAAACTTAACTTTCATTTCTTCATTGTGTTTCAGTTTCTCCTGTAAAGACTTCAGTGCTGTATTGAGCTCCTCCTGCATTTGAACAATTAAAAAAATAGGTAAACCATTAAATTAATCTCCAACAAAACTGATTCAGAAATTAAAATCTGCAACGTAAAACAAAGGCTTAATCAACACAAAATGGAGTTTGTAAAAGATAAAATCATTTAATTAATTATTAAAAAAATTATTCAGTGCTAACTGGGTCTGTGTGAATGTTCTTGACCTGTAGTTTTAAATAATTTCCCAGATCTATGAAACTGCATCCATATTGTTAAACTGGACAAGATGTAAGAAGTCTGATTATGTCTGATTATTGACAACAGTGTTACAGCAGTAACACTGACAGCATAAGTAAATATTACGTAGCTTTTATATGTCAATGAATGTTGACGAACAAAAGTTAATGTTTTTCAGTTCTACACAGAAGATTGCGCCAAAATATCACCAAAATTTATTATTTTTTTCACAATGTTTGGATGCTGTAATTTCTGTTTTTTTGTTTACTTGGCTGATATCTGTGCTCATGTTTCACAATCATTGTTCTTTACCTATTAATGAAGAAACTCTTGTCTTACCTTGTATGATGAAGCCACTTCACTGATGGGTCTGAATTTGTGATTGTCGTGTTGTTGTAAAGTAACACACATCACACACACAGGCTGTTTGTCCTCCAGACAGAAGAGTTTGAGTTTCTCACTGTGTAAACTGCAGATCTCCTCAGATGCTGATGAGCATCTCTCATTTCTCTCCTTCAGGAACTCACAAAAGTTTTTTAACACAAGGTTAACTGGAGGATCATCTCTTGAAGACCTTCTCCGGCAAACAGGACACTCCTGAGTTGTCTTGGTTCTCCAGTACTGCTGAAGACACTCTTTACACACACTGTGACTGCATGATAAAAGAACAGGATTCCTGAAGATTTCACAGCACACGGGACAAGAAAGTTCTTCTTCAGAATCATTTAGTGAAGCCATTTCCATTGTTTGAGCTCCAGCAACCTTACTTTTACTTTCTGAATGACGGTTTAAAAATGAAACCACAAAAATCTGCTGCCTGTTCAGGAATTAATGTCTCAGAAATCTTCCTTGAAAGGGTTTGTCCTCATTCTCCACTGATTTCTGATCCTTTTTTAATCCAGTACAGAAATGAAGAGAGTCAGCGTAACAGAAAGCAGGAATAATAAGTGAGTGTCTTCCTGGTCAGAGCTGTAAGAGGGCGGAGCTCTGATCTCCTTTAGGCATGATAAAACAGGTCAAACAACATCACGATTCCAGCAAAACACATCAAACACATGGCTACAAAACATAAAATCAAATACAAATTCAAATCACAACTACTGAAAGGGTTTTCAGGATTACTAAAAAAGTGGATCTGAAGTGCCAAAGCTACTCAGCTTTACACATATAGTGTCAGCATGGATTTGACTAAGCAGAAATTCTGCAATAAAACAACAAAAGCTCTGAAGAGAAGATCTGTGAGAAAGAGCACAGGACAACATCTGGTCATCTGGATCTTTATTCACCTCAGATTTTGGGAATGTTTTTTATTTGGGCTCAGTATAAATATGTTTGATGTGACTGGTAACGTGGTTTTGCTGCCTCATCAATAAAGCAAAATAAAAAGTAAAATACACTGCCTGTTATCTGCTGGAGGATACATCTTTGATAAACTTTGTCTTGTCCAGATGGGTGAGCCTTTTAGCCACAGGAGTACACTAACAAGATAGATAATATTTTGGTGCTAAACATGTATGTCTTTTTTTGGAGTATTTCGCTTGGTGTCCAGCATGGAGATCAGTATTACCCTGGCAATACAACGGACACACCTGAAGATCATTACTAAAGGCTGATATATACTTCTGCGTCAAGCACACATGTATGCTCCAGTGCAGCCTTCGCATGGTCGCTTGGCCCTCAACGTGGCTGACGCGCACATGTCAAAAAATTTAACTACACATCGCAACGACGTATACTACAAGCTCTGTAATTGGTTGGCTTGGTAGCTGTGACCAGTGTGGGTAGGACCGAGAGCCTCACGAACCTGTTGGAGTGAGTGTTTACAAGTGTCGAGTCTAATGAAAGAGCTCCAGATGGAAACATTTGTTTTGTGTTTACCTTATGATAAAAGTTGTTGCACGTCTGCCAGTTTCATCCTCTGAATGAGCTAGTTTTAGCTATTTGTACATTAGCTTTAAAAATAAATAAATAAATACAACAGCAATGAAACTCGACACAGAGGAACATAAACACCTACTACTTGCTAACGTTTCAGAAGTGTTATTGCAGAGCAACACAAACAGCGCGCAGAAGTATAAAAGAACGGCTACGAGCAAGGCAGTTGCCATTATACCCGCTAACACTCCCGTTTTTCCCGGGAGTCTCCCGTATTTCAGACCCATCTCCCGTATTAATCTGTCTCCTGGAATTCCGCCCCTCGAACACCCCCTCGTTCTTCAGCTTTTTGGTACAGTCCGCCTAGCTTTTTGGTACAGTCCCCATGCGCACTGAACCCAACGCGCAACCATATCAATACCCGCTCGCCGCTCTTCAGTTCGCACGCACTAGCCAGTTCTTCACAGTTCTTCACCCCCCACCATCCTCTCCTCCCCCTGTTCTTCAACTCATGCGCACCCCTGGATACATCTCCCGGATTTTATGATCCGAATGTTGGCAGGTGGGTGCCATGGGTCACGGCAATCACTCGACACTGAAGTATAAGCCAGCTCTAAGGGTCAATCAGTCCCGACATTAATCAAGCCACCCCATAAAAGAGAGGCTCAGAGACCCAAGAGGTGAGCCACGACTCCATTACACTGATGCTTACCTGTTTTTCTGTTTTCCCAGACGATACGCTGCCACCGCTTAGCCCGAAGAGGAAGTACTGGAATCTACGACCTGGAGAGGAAAAGACACCCAAAGTACCCGAGCACTTATCACCACACTTACTTGTTTGTATGCACTTATATAAAATTTTTAAGCAAATCCATCCTCCAGCCTCACTCACAGGTCTGCCCTGTCGTGTGCTTCACCAACTCACAGTATTTAAAAGGAAAGTGGGAAAGCATTTTTACCTTCCTAGCTGGAGCATGCTTACCTCATCGATGATGCGACTGTTCAGTTTAACAGGAAGAGAAGTGCACTTGCTCAGAACAATGGAGGTTGCTTTAGTTTAATTGATTTGTATTTTGAGTCCATTGGGTTGCAGTGTCACACAGTCAAATCTTCTGCTGACAGATCCACAACTTTTGACACTCTTAAATTATTATAAAGTCCTCGTGCTGCTGGAATTAGGAGGTTTGCTGAAGGTGCAGCGAGGGGTTTTGCATGTCTAATAAACTATGACAGTTCACATTCATTGAATAGTAAAAATGATTATGTAACAGGTTACACTATCAAATCAATCTGGACATCAGAAGCCTAGGATTCGACTACTGGAGGTAATGAGCATTTGCTGAAAAATGACAGAAACCACTATATAGGTAAGTATTTGAAATGTTTATAGATATATTTTTCTGCAGATCTTTCCCCAAAATAAAATAAACAATTAAAACACAATAAAACAAAATAAAGTTCAATTGAAATTACATTGAAAATGTAAAGAAACCCACTTGTTCAGAATCAACAAACTCAGTATTTCTCATTTCACTTCAAAAGGAAAATAGTTTGATTTCCAAGTGTCCGTGCGCTGGTATTAGTCTTTTTCTTAATCAGTTCTCGGGGGAAAAAAAACACGAACAGTCTCTATCCAGAAACGGAAAAAAACAGTCTTTTACCTTGAGCTGGAAAAATAAAAAGTATTAAAGTACTCTCCTGGTTCAGTAGGGTGAATTTCCAGTTTCCTTTTCTAGTGTCCGAATAGGTTGGCTCGCCATCAATGGGAATCAGTCTTCAATCAAAAACACCAAAGAAAAAAAACCTGACCATGTCCATATATTCACTCCTAAACAACACAATGATGCAATTTTCACATCGATCGTCACAGGAACAATTTAACGACTGAATCCTCTTCAAATACTTCTCTATGAAAGCTTTTTGTAAGTTTCTCAAACTAGTTTCAAAGTTATAATCTGATTTCACAGTTTAAATCATCAACTCTAGCGATCTCACTCTCTCTTCCTCCACAGTCTGGCGATCTCTTCCCACTGCGTCAGCAAGCGCAAATCCCTCCCACACATCACTGATTGGCTAAACCAATAACATGTGAATATTTCACATTATTATTTTTAAACAATTTATTTCTTAAGAACATTTTAGAACAATGAATCCACAGTTATATGTTGTTTTATCCCCTGATCATTTGTATTATTTTATAAATGTACAAATATAACCCTTCAGTAATCTGGGTTACAATTAATAAATCCATATGAAAATGTGACGTTGATTCTTTAGTTTCACACTTGGCTTTCGAGTCTTCGTTTTGTGCCCTTAAAGGTTTTGGGTGTACTCACGCTAGGCCAAAGCCTGTTTCTGAAGATCTATCTTCCTGCAGATTATGGTTGCAACTTATATCAAACACACCTGCCTGTAATTATTAAGTTTTGTTCAGGTCCCACGGAGTGGCACGGTGGCTCAGTGGTTAGCACTGTCCCCTCACAGCAAGAAGGTCGCTGGTTCAAGTCCTGGCTGGGCTGGCTGTGTGGAGTTCGCATGTTCTCCCTACACATTTTCTACACATGCTCCAGTTTCTCCCACAGTCCAAACACATGAGCTATAGGTGAAAAGGTGAATAAATTGGCTGTAGTGTATGAGTGTGAAAGTGTATGGGTGTTTCCCAGTACTAAGTTGTGTCCGCTGTGTGAAACATATGCTGGAATAGTTGGCGGTTCATTCTGCTGTGGCGACTAAGCTGAAGGAAAATGAATGAATGAGGTCGTAATTAATTGGTTGAAGTGTGATCAGAGTTGGAGCAGAACTCTGCAGCAAGGCAGCTCTCCAGAAACCGTGTCGAGTACCCCATGCAATAGGCGTTTGGGCTCAGTATGCTTTTAGTGTGAGTGCAAAGTGCACCTTAGCACTGTTCAGAAGACTTCGATCAGTCTTCTATTAATACAGGAGTTTACTGAAAAAGTCAGTAATCAATCGATCAATCAACTTTATTTATATAGCACCTTATTAAAACAATTTTTGGACCTGCCACTGTAAAAGAGCGATCATCACATTGTTTATACCAGGATAATTGTTTATACCAGGATAGGTAAGATCCTTAGAGCAGAAGACCAACAATAGAAGAAAGGAAAGACAGACTCGGTGAAGGTGGTTGTGAATGTGTGTAGATGTGTGTTTGTTACAGGATCAGAGAAAGACACTGTTCCTCTGTCACAGTCCAGATCAACTCTCACACACTCAAAATCCTGTTTAACACGAAAACCAGTACTGACTGTACAACCATACCGCACACACCAGACACCGGTGTTAAAGAATTTTTTTCCCTTCCTCTGGTTTGATGCTGTAGTGACTCCAAGACTCCAGAATTGACTTCCTTTGACCTCCACATCCCAGCAGTGTTTTCCTGAGGTAAAACCCTCTGAACCCAGAACACAGTACATTTGGTCAAACCTCTCTGGATTATCAGGAAGAGGTTCGATGTCGTCTCTGTCCCTCACACTGGTCAGATCATCAGACATGTTGAGAAATGGGTTTGCAGTGTTTGGATCCAGAATCACAGGAGCTGAAGAGACACAATCAACAAGACTGCTTTCATGAGAGAGAAGTTATAAACCAAGAGAATTTAGGTGTTCACAGTATCCCTACAGTTACATTACTTGCATTGAGAATTTATTAAGATAATTGTGTTGGTGGTGTATATTATTCATCCAAAGGCAGATGTATGCAGTATAGACCTTACTATGAAGTATATTGAGAAGCATTTTCTGAAATTTCATGTCAGTTTACACTATCAAAGATACCAAAGAAGTGAACCATACCATATAATAACATAGAATGACAGAATTACTTTTAAACAAGACGTTAAAGATGTTTTTTTTTTTTATTTAAAAAATTTGTTCATTTGCTATAGTAATAAACCTGCAGGTATAATCATATCCTGTTTATAGAGAGGTTAGAAATTAACATTTATACACAAGCATTTATGTATATAATGCATCTTGTTCATTGGAGTTGACGAGGTCTGAGTACTGATCCGTATACAGGAATTACAGTTACTTAAATGCTGGTCGTAACCCCGCTTCTCACAGTTTTTAATAACAATCGCACCCCACCTCCTTGTTCTTTAGTACCAGTTTCCTCCACACACACACACACAGAATAGGCGTGCGTTGGTGGTGGGAGGAGTGCGTTCCACCAGTGCCGATATACAGCCATATTGCCTTGCTACAAGTGTGATATTGCGTTTATACAACAGTTTGACGGCATAATTGTGTATAAAAAACCAAAATCAAACACAGAAAGTCTCAATAACCCTTTTGTATGAGGAAGTACTTTGTTCCGCGTTGAATTCAAATCATAAGCTGACAGTTAAACAGCTGAGCAAGCATCATTTAAACTTTAGATCCGTAGAGTCTGCCAGGGCTGGACTGGGGCAAAAAATCAGCCCTGGCATTTTGGGCCAGAGCGGCCCACTAAATTCAATCAAAATGCCATCTATCTATGCACGTCCAATATTTTTATCAACTCAAATTCTATAAAACACCATAAAAGCCATATATATTAAATAAATAAATAAATACAAACTTTAATCTCAATTTAATTTCTGTAAACTGTCCATAAAGATATTTGTTGAGTTCTAAAAAATATACTATTCATTCATTTATTTTTCTTCACATAAGTCCCTTATTTATCAGTGGTTGCCGCAGTGGAATGAACTGCCAACTATTCCAGCATGTTTAGCTTATTCAATACACTATACACTCAGCCTATATTCAATAATAAACATAACAAAAACTGCCTGCTAATGCATGGGTAAATCTTCAAAGGGAACAGTGTTACATTTTAGCCTCTTTCATCTCATCCTGCTTTCTGTTTCACTATCTAAACAATGAAAACATAATATAAGTCAAATTTGTTTCATTTTGATATTATGATTTACAGACACCAAACAGCCTCGTGCAGCTGCATTTTTATATGAGCGTCATCTCCACTCTGCATATTTATAACAAAACAGGGCTTAAATATAACTGCCTCCTTTCATTTTCATTGAAAAGAACAAACTTTACCCCGTCTCTTTTGCAGAATATCAGTTTTAATAATCAATAATGGCCATTATAACAGTATAACGTACATTAAATTTAAACGATAAAGGTAAGCAATCAGTCAATGTGCAGAATCAGTGTATGTGGTTACATAAATTAATATATTAGCTGATCTTTGCACTCAGCCAAAAAAGTTAACTGAGAACAAGTGATTCAAAAGACATAAGAGTTGTTAGATAGAGACAACAAGATGAATATCACGTTTAACAACTATAGTGAGATCAGATCCAGCAGATGAACTGTCTGACATGCACTATACTCTCACCTGGGGTTAATGCTCACCCGCTGAATTATTGGCTGCAGCTCTAGGCAGAGTGTGTGTGGTCACGTGATTTGCGTTTTATCCTTGTACTAGAAAGAACAGAGAACTTTTCAGAATCGCTAAATGAAACGCCGGTGTATTTCCCGCGATTTCTCTGCGCCTCCCTTGCGTTTCTTCTCTCTGACTCTCGACTATTTTGACAAATACACACAGACGACGCACGCTCACACGGAGTCCAAAATAGGAGTTTGTGATTGGGCCAGACCAATGTCAATACAGAAAAGAGCCAATGGGCTGCAGAGTGTCACATGGGCCGGCCCGGTCTGTCTGTCCGGGAAAAAAGCATCTTACTTTCAGAGAGTCACAGATCACAGCAGCGTCAATCAATAAGGCAGAAAAAAACCATAGGCTGGTAAGCCTTTTATGGGCCGATCAGATCATAAGACGATGATCAGCCCGGCCCAAAAAGTACGTCGGCCCACCAGGAAAGTGCCCGGTTTGCCAGATGGCCAGTCCGCCCCTGGAGTCTGCTTTTTGCTGGCTGTATGTGTGCGGAGTAAAACACAAAGGATAAAGAGGCTTTACGAGTGCTGATATTACTTAAATATGTCACGGCTATCAGCCAATCAGATCCGAGAACCAGACAGAACTGTTGTGTGTGTGTGTGTATATATATATATATATATATATATATATATATATATATATATATATATATATATATATATATATATGTATATATATATATATATATATATATACACACACACACACACACACACACACACAAACACACACACTAAGTCTTATGTCTAAGTCCAAGACCCCCTTTGATTTTTTTTTCATTTTTTTTATATTTCCCAAATGATGTTTAACAGAGCGAGGAAATATTCACAGTATGTCTGATAATATTTTTTCTTCTGGAGAAAGTCTTAATTGTTTTATTTGGGCTTGAATAAAAGCAGTTTTTAATTTTTAAACACCATTTTAAGGACAAAATTATTAGCCCCTTTAAGCTATATATTTTTTGATAGTCTACAGAACAAACCATCATTATACAATAACTTGCCTAGTTAACCTAATTAACCTAGTTAAGCCTTTAAATGTCACTTTAAGCTGTATAGAAGTGTCTTGAAAAATATCAAGTAAAATATTATTTACTGTCATCATAGCAAAGATAAAATAAATCAGTTATTAGAGAGAGGTTATTAAAACTATTATGATTAGAAATGTGTTGAAAATATCTGCTCTCTGTTAAACAAAAATTTGGAAACAAATAAACAGGGAGGCTAATAATTCTGACCTCAACTGTATATGTATGTATATATATATATATATATATATATATATATATATATATATATATATATATATATATATATATATATATATATACATACATACAGTTATTCCACAAGCTTAAATAAGTTCTTCAGACATTACCTATATATGAGCAGAGATATAGAGACTCACTGTAGTGGACGATGTCCTGCATCTTCTTCCAGACTCTGAACGGCAGGTTCCCCAAGTAGCGAGACACATGAATCAAAGCTCCAGAAGGCGTCTGTGGATCCGGCTGTGAGATCTGGACTCTGGAAGAACATTCAGGAGTCAGAACTGCAGGATTCAGAAGCAGAGAGAGCAGAGACACCAGCAGATCACTCACCTTTCCATCGAGACTGGAAACTCCTGCAGAACAAACACACAACTGATCATCAAGAGCTCAATCCATCATCAATCAATCAATCACTGATCTGAAATCAGACCTTTAGAAAGCAGACGTCATTGGCTTTCAGCATCTCCTCCGTGTCTTTGATCGTGTGTGAAAGAGCTGAGATGTGTGTGTTCATCTCCTCCAGCTTCTCCTTCATCATCTGCTTCTTCTGCTCCTCTTCCTCTCTCAGTGCAGTGATTGTAGCTTCTTCTTCATCTCGGAGAAACTGATGAAGCTTCTCAAACTCATGTTTAACCTGACGCTCTGTGTGATCGGCTTGAGACTGAAAGCAAACCACAATGTTTAATAATCAACAAACATCAGCATCACATCATAAATATACAAAATAAAGTCAAAATCTCAACATTAAATATCTTAAAGCTAACTGATGCTAACAAAAATAATTCACTGGAATCTATTAAAACAAGTCAAATTTGTGTCTCCAGCAGCTGTAATGAAAAAGACTCTTGATTCTGTTTCTCACCTTGATGTGTTGAACTGTTTTCTCAAACTCTGCTTGCATTTTTTCATTGTGTTTGAGTTTCTTTTGTAAAGACTTCAGTGCTGTATTGAGCTTCTCCTAGAGTTGAACAAATAAAAACACCAAATTACTGTGAAGAAAACTTAGTGATAATATCTTGTAGAGCTGTGATTTACAGTATTTATGTGGACATCTCCAACTAAACTTATTCAGAATAAAATTTACAGGCTCATTTTGTTTTAGCTTTATATTAATTAGGCCTTAACTACTATGTTTTATATTTATAATTATAAATATAAAACCCCGGGCGAGGCAGTGGCGCAGTAGGTAGTGCTGTTGGCTCACAGCAAGAAGGTCGCTGGTTTGATCCTCGGCTCAGTTGGCGTTTCTATGTGGAGTTTGCATGTTCTCCCTGCCTTCGCGTGGGTTTCCTCCGGGTGCTCCGGTTTCCCCCACAGTCCAAAGACATTCGGTACAGGTATATTGGGTAGACTAAATTGTCCGGAGTGTGTGTGTGTGAATGTGTGTGTGGATGTTTCCCTGAGATGGGTTGCGGCTGGAAGGGCATCCGCTAGGGTTCAAACTTGCTGGATAAGTTGGTGGTTCATTCAGCTGTGGCGACCCCAGATTAATAAAGGGACTAAGCCGACAAGAAAAATGAATGAATATAAAACCCCAAATCAGAAAAAGTTGGGACAGTATGGAAAAAACACACAAAAAATATAGTAATTTCTAAATTTATTTTGACTAGTATTTTATTACAGACAATACAAAAAACATTATTTACTGTGTACCTAGCGGGTTCACATGATCACCAGTTTGCCAACAAATATGTAAGAAAATTACTGAAATGTTTAAAAACAATGCTCCTCAAAGAAAGATGGGAAGACATTTGGAAATTTCATCTTCAACAGTGCAGAACATCATTAAAAGATTCAAGGACTCTGGCGGAATTTCAGTAAGTAAAAGACAAGGGCAGAAGTCTAAGCTGAACAACTGTGATCTCCAATCCTTAAGGCGGCACTGCATCAAGAATCCTCGTTCATCTATAAACGATATCCCCGCATGGGCTCAGCACTGCTGTAACACACCTTTGTCAAGTACCACAATACATAGTTACATCCACAAATGCCAGTTAAAACTGTACTGGGCCAAAAGGAAGCCCTATGTTAACAGTGTCCAGAAGAGGCATCTGGGATGGATCACCACACAGTGGAAAGGTCTAGTGTGGTCAGATGAATCTGTATTGCAGGTATTTTTTTTAGAGAATTAGACGCCTTGTGCTCCAGACCAAAGAAGAAAAGGCTCATTCTGACTGTTGCCAGCAATAAGTCCAAAAGCCAGGGTCTGTCATGGTATGGGGTTGTGTCAGTGCCCTTGGTAAAGATAATTGTCACTTCTGTGATGGTATGATTAATGCTGAAATGTACATAGAGATTTTAGAGCACAATATGTTGCCTTCTTTTCCAGGGACACCCGTGTATATTTCAGCAAGACAACGCAAAACCACAGTCTGCACACGTTAGAAAGTCCTGGCTGTGGAGGAAGAGGATACAGGTACTTGACTGGCCTGCCTGCAGTCCTGACCTGTCTCCAATAGAGAATGTGTGGTGCATTTTCAAGCACAAAATGTGACAACAAAGACCCTGAACTGTTGCCTACCTTAAGACTTGTTTACAGGAAGAATGGGACAAAACTACACCTGAAACACTTCATCACTTGATGTCTTCAGTTCCTAAATGTCTTTTAAGTGTTGTGAAAAGGAATGGCAGCATTACTGATCCAACTTTCATGAAATGTGTTGCAAGAACCAAAATTGGAATACGTGTTTATTTAGAAAGAAACAATAAAAATCATGAGGAACACATTAAATAGTGTTTGTTGTATTGTCTGTAATAAAATACAAGTCAAAGTAAATTTAAAAAACACAACTTTCTTTTTTTATTAGCGTTTTTTCATACTGTCCCAACTTTTTCTGATGAGGTTGTAAATACAATGTACTTACTGTGTTCACAATGTATTGCAGAACACTTCTGGTGCTCTTGAAGTGGTATTGGGGTAAGGTTTGGGAAAGGTGTGGTGGTATGGGTAGGTTTAGTGGCGGATTTAGGATTAAATTGTAATTGCATGTAGGTTTTTATTCAAGCAAAAGTACAATGTAAAAACGTGTTACACAATAAGTACATTGTAACAAATATATAATTTCAGTGTAAGTACACATTAGTTAAGGCCACAATATAAAGTGTGAATGTTGTATTAATGTTGACAAACTAAAGCTGTTCTGAAAAGAAGAATGATATCTGATTTAACTGATATCTGTGCAGGGGCGGACTGGGACTAAAAATCAGCCCTGGCACTGTAGCCACACCAGCCCACATTACTACACCAACACAGCCCCATGCACGGACACGCACATTCACTACTTATTTTGGTGTACAGATGGTGAAATAATATAAGCAGTTCCATATATGTAATAGATATTTAAACATTAAATGTATGTGACTGGAACAACAACGAATTTATATATGCGATCATTCATTCATTTTCTTTTCGGCTAAGTCCCTTTAATAATCTGGAATCACAACAGCGGAATGAACCGCCAACTTGTCCAGCATATGTTTTACGCAGCAGATGCCCTCCAAAGTGCAACCCACTGTGAAACCCCTATACACACACATTCACATACATGCACTATGGACAATTAAGCCTACCCAATTCACCTACAGCACTTGTTTGGACTTGTGAGGGAAACCAGGAAGAAACCCACGTGAATATGTGTTGGAAACACCAACTAACCCAGCCGAGGCTCGAAAAAGCAACCTTCTTGCACCCCTCCGCTGCCCTCTTTCGAGACTATTTCTGTTAATTGTATGCATTTCGGCAGAGTTTTACTTTTTTTTTTTTTGCTTTCTCTGAGCTTTTCGGCACCTCCTTTCCTTTTTTATGGTCCATTTCTGACAATTACCTTGTGTTGCACCTACTGTTTTTTTGACATTCTAGCCAGATTTTGGGTCAGCCCAACTAGAAACCAGCCGGTCATTGCTGATTGGGCCAATGCTTAACATTTATTATTATTACTATCATCATCATCATCATCATCATCATCATCATCATCATCATAATACTCACATCTTGCAAGAGATAAAAGCTGCCTGCATGTAAAAACAATACAAAAAAAAAAAAAAAAAAAAAAAAAAAAAAAATTGCATACCGGCCCACATTTAAAAAATGGTCCGGCCCTTCTGGCATTTGCCAGAATTGCCAGATGGCCAGTCCGCCCCTGTATCTGTGTTCATGACCAAATACTTAAATTGTCTTACCTTGTATGAAGAAACCACTTCACTGATGGGTCTGAATTTGTGATTGTCGTGTTGTTTGGAGTCTCTGCACACTAAACACACAGGCTGTTTGTCCTCCAGACAGAAGAGTTTGAGTTTCTCGCTGTGTAAACTGCAGATCTCCTCAGATCCTGATGAACATGTCAAATTTCTGTCTTTCAGAAGTAACTCACACATGTTTTTTAATATAAGATTAAGAGGAGGATCATCTCTTGAAGATTTCCTGCAAACAGGACACTCCTGAGTTTTCTTGGTTCTCCAGAACTGTTGAAGACACTCTTTACAGAAACTGTGACTGCAAGATAAAAGAACAGGATTCTTGAAGATTTCACAGCACACGGGACAAGAAAGTTCTTCTGCAGACACATTTAGTGAAGCCATTTCCACTGTTTGAGCTGCAGTAATCTGAACCTGACTTTCACTTTCTGAATGACGTGTTAAAAATGACAAAGATCTGCTGCCTATTCAGAAATAAACATCTCAAAAATGCTTCTTGAAAGTGTTTGTTGTGATTGTCTTCATTCTCCAATGATATATGATTTTTAGAATCCAGTACAGAAATGAAGAGAGTCAGTGTGACAGAAAGCAGCAATAATAAGTCAGTCTCTTCCTGTTCAAAGCTGTAAAAGGGCGGAGCTTCTGATGTTATTTAGGTGTGTGATGAAACAGGTTAAACAACATCAGGATTCCAGGTTAACTTTTAACAAAACACATTCAAAATGAACTCAAATTGAAACTCTTTTAAACACAATGCTGCAAAAACTATAATCAACAAAATAAAGAAAACTTTTAATAAGGTTTTCAGGATTACTTAAAGTTCACAGGCAGGTTAGTTTCATTCAGGTTGGAGCTGAACTTTGCAGAAAGAGCCAAAGCTGATCAGACTTGACAAATAGCATGTTATCAAATTAAATAAAATGAGTTAGAGAAACGTGAAGTAAACATCTTCAAAGTTGATCACACTTCAAATATGAAATTCTTTATATTTGTAGGATGCACGAGTTGTACCTTTATTGCTAAAAGTAAACCTGTCACCAATGTGTACTTCTACATTGTGTGAGCACCTTAACCCATGACACATCACCACTGTACATGCACTCTCCGGCAACTTTATTAGGTACACATTAATAGTAATTCAATTCTTCAATTCAATTCAGCTTTATTTGTATAGCGCTTTTACAATGTAGATTGTGTCAAAGCAGCTTCACATAAATGGTCATAGTAACTGGAACAGTGTGGTTCAGTAACTGGAACAGTGTAGTTCAGTTTTTAGTGTTTAAGTTCAGTTCAGTTCAGTTTAGCTCAGTTCAGTGTGATTTAATCATTACTGAGAGTTCAAACACTGAAGAGCCAATTCATTGATGCGTAGCTCTACCAATCCTGAACCATGCGAGGCAGTGGCGACAGCGGAGAGGGAAAAAAAACTTCACCTGATGGGAGTGAAGAAAAAAAACCTTGAGAGAACCGGGGTTGGACCCGCTTTTTCCTTCAGAACTGCCTGAATCCTTCGTGGCATAGAATTAACAAGGTGCTGGAAATATTCCTCAGAGATTTTGCTCAATATTGACTTTATAGCATCAGACAGTTGCTGCAGATTTGTCAGCGGCACATTCATGATGTAAATCTCCTGTTCCACCACATCCCAAACGTGCTCTATTGGATTGAGGTCTGGTGACTGTGGAGACCATTTGAGTACAGTGAGTACATTGTCATGTTCAAGAAACCAGTCTGAGATGATTCACGCTTTATGACATGGTGTGCTATCCTGCTGGAAGTAGCCATCAGAAGATGAGTACACTGTGGTCATAAAGGGATGAACATCGTCAGCAACTATACTCAGGGAGGCTGTGGCGATGACACGATGCTCAACTGGAACTAATGAGCCCAAAAGTGAGCCAAGAAAATCTCCACCACACCATTACACCACCACCACCAGCTTGAACCGATGATACAAGGAGAATGGATCCATGTTTTCATGCTGTTGATGCCAAATTCTGACTCGACCATCTGAATGTTGCAGCAGAAATGAAGATTCATCAGACCAGACAACGTTTCTCTCTAATCTTTTATTGTCCAGTTTTGGTGAGCCTGTGCCAATTGTAGCCTCAGTTAAGAGGTCTGCAAATTTCCGAATAAATCGCGGGAGCGGTCGGTAACGGGTTTAATTTGGGACGGGAGCGGGCTGTCTAGCAATATTGCGGATATTGCTATGCGAATGAGAGAGAGAGACAGATTTGCCTGTGTGTGTGCTTGGTGCTTGTGTGTGTGTATGTTAGTGCGCGCGCGAATGAGAGAGAGAGAACTTTCCCAAATAGCAAAATACACTCGGGCCAGTTGTGGCTAGATTCTCGCCTGCCAGAGACTTACCACTCAGCCCGGCTCCGGCTGCCGGACTCGGGCCGGATGCTTGTGGACTTACTGCCCAATTCACTGGCCGATGCGGAGGCCGAATCAATCGGCCCGAGAGTAATGTGTGCTGCGGCCCGGAGCGACTCTTTTATTTATACATTAAACCTTTTGGTATTACATTGGTACTTGATACATGGTATTACAAAACTTCGAGTTGATATAACAGCAAACGCCTGTGTGTCTGCTTGGTGCTTGTGTGTGTGTGTGTGTTAGTACGCGCGCGCGTATGAGAGAGAGAGAGAGAGAGAGAGAGAGCTTTGTCTGTGTGTGTGTGCTTGGTGCTGTGTGTGTGTGTTTATACAGACAGCTTGGCTGTCTGGACTGTACGGCTGGGTGATTTTCGGTTTTGTTCTCCCCCGCTCTTTAGCGGGATCGGGCGCGGTGGGCAGAAAACGGGGCGGGTCGGGCAGCGGGACAACAAATTCTTAATATAAGCGGGAGCGGTCGGGTTCGGGCTAAAACCTGGCGGGAGCGGGCGGGATCGGGATACAAAATTTAGTCCCGCGCAGATTTCTACCTCAGTTTCTCATTCTTAGCTGACAGGAGTGGCACCCGGTGTGATCTTCTGCTGCTGCTGTAGCCCATCTACCTCAAGGTTGTACATGTTACATGAGTTACTGTTGCCTTTCTATCAGCTGGAACCAGTCTGGCCATTCTCCTCTGGCCTCTGGCATATAATGTACAAGAGGATTTGTGCATTGTGTCCATGTTTGGCCTGACATTCAGCCTGTGCAGCGGAAACTGTAGTGGTTACCTTTCTCAGTCCTTAGTGAGGTGTCCGAGCAATTACAGATTGTTTAACAGAATATTCAAGACTGGATTGAAGATGCATCAGTGTGGGTCTCCCCATTAGTGGCCAAATAAGAAAGGGATTCATCTCTGTGTTGAATTACATGAGCCTAACAAGGCAGTGGTAGTGAACAACTTTCCTCTTTACATATGCAGGAGTTGTTTACAAAGCTGTGGATCAACATTGTTTTCCACAATAGACCTCCAAAGTGTTCATTCCCAAGCAGCATCAAATGAGAAAAGTCCAAACCATACTGCATTTAGTAGCACACGTGATGAACTGACTTCAGAATTCTTTAAAGGTCAGTATGGAGATCATTGCTACTTTGATGACACCATGGTCATGGATCCAATGCTCCAGGAACATCATATACATTTTCAACCTGTGCTGCCATAAACTGATGAAGCAGGTCTCAAATTAAACATGGTAAAGTGGCACTTCAAACAGTCAGAGCTGTTATTCTTGGGTCACAGACTGTCTGAGAGGGCTTTACACCCTGATACTTCTCATATCTCTGCAGCGTCTGCTGCAGTTACCTCGTGTTGATGGAGTTAGTCTTGTTCATTCCTACCTTTCCAGTCATAGTGTTCAGAATTTACACCACATTACACTGCAGTGATAGAGCCACTGCGTGTATTATTAAGGCCAATTTTACAACATTATTTTGGTCACCTGAGGCTCAGGAACTTTGATATACCCTTGTAATGTGGTTTATAAGTATGAAGTGTAACTCATTCATTCATTCATTTAATTTCGGCTTGTTCTCTTTATTAATTCGGATTTTTCACTGACCACTGATTGGTAAGATCTTCAAAGCGATAGGACTATAGAAGAAAGGAAAGACAGACTCAGTGAAGGTGGTTGTGAATGTGTGTAGATGTGTGTTTGTTACAGGATCAGAGAAAGACACTGTTCCTCGGTCACAGTCCAGATCAACTCTCACACGCTCAAGATCCTGATTTACAGTATAGCCAGAGCTAATAGCTGTATTATATCGCACACCCCAGACACAAGTGTTAAAGAAATCACTCCCCTTCTTCTGCTTTGATGCTGTTGTTACTCCAAGACTCCAGCCTGAAATCTCTTTCACCTCCACATTCCAGCAGTGTTTTCCTGAGGTAAAACCCACTGAACCCAGAACACAGGGATAGCTGTCAAATCTCTCTGGATTATCAGGAACAGGTTGATCTTTCCCACTGTACCTCATACTGGTCAGATCATCAGACAGTTCGAGATATGGATGAGCAGTGTTTGGATCCAGAATGACAGGAGCTGAAGAGACACAATCAACAGCTGCTTTTATTCTGATGTTCATATCATGATCAAGAGTGAACAAACACTGATTATTATGAACTATGACACTCGTCCTGTTGATCAAACACATCAGACATGTTCTTCTGATCACTGTCACTGTTATTAGTTACACACTCATTTTCATAACATAGTTTAAAAGCATCAGATACAAACACTATGGGCTCTACTTTAACGATCTAATCACAGAGTGTAAAGCGCATGGCGCAAAAGCAACAAGTGACATTCTTGCTGTAAGGCTACAGAGCTAACCACTCGGCCACTGTGCCACCCATCTAGGAAAGGAGTAGGAATAGGGGTGGAAAGGGGGATTTTTTTTAAAGAAGATGACTGTTGTATGGAACTTAGGGTATTTATAGTGGCTTAGGAATCGTCTGATTGGTGAATCATAAATTGAATCATGCGGGACCAGCCGCAAGCAATCTTGAGCACCTGATCCTTTAGAAATTAGTTTATAAATAAATTTCACTAAGTGAAGAAAACTGAACACTTTACTAGCGAGAAAATGGTTAAACAGACCATCTACAGCGCAAGAATAAAGAATGTCTCCTCCATCCATCCTCCTCTTTACTTTCTCCTTCTCTTCACTTTTACTTTTTACTCAGTCCTTCACTTCGTGTAGTATGGAAATGGAGTTGTACACTCCACTGAAGACATCCATTAGCCTACATAAATAATTTTGTTTGTTAAGTGCAAAGATTTGTATCAAAACTATTTCTAAAGTTAGTTCTAGTTTCAAGTTATATCTAAACACACGTCCTATGCCCCATATGGTCCGAAACCTAATGGACAAATCTAAGCTTGTTTTTATTAAAACAAATAAAAATATGCATATAATAAATACAATTCTTGAGACTTACCTGAGCTCAAACTCCCCTCTCGCCAAACATGCTTTATTAGCAATCATCAGCTAAGTGTGAACTCTTGAAGTGCGGTTTATTTATAAACTGATTTTGAGAGGATCACGTGGTCATGATTGATTAGAGAGAAGAAGAACGCCACTGATTTAACCCCCTTACCAGACCAGTCAGCATTTCCGTGCTGAATTTGCATGTTCTCGCATTTGTTTTATGTGCATTCCCCGGTTCCCTCCCACGGTCCAAAGACATACATCATAAGTATATTGACTAATCCAAAGTAGCATCTTTGACCAACTCTTAGCCAGCTATATCTCAGCTATTCCTAATACATTTAAAGGTGGGGGAGTTCTCGAGACTTGCCTGAGATTAAATTGCCCTCTCGTTCTTTAAACGAGAGGTAGCTTCAGGCTTGAGGACATTCTAAACGCTGGGGTCTTTCCCAAGACAGCATGCCAAACTTGTTTTATTGTTAATCATCAGCTGTGAACTCTTAAAATAAAGAAATGAGAAACATGTAAACTCGTCCCTAGATAAATGGTTAAAAATTTTGTGCATCATAATTGTCATTTACAAAAAACTTTACACAGTATTTCACTTTAAACTAGTATAAGTACTTCAGTGAAACACTGTTTGTGTGAGCAGAGATGTAGAGACTCACTGTAGTGGACGTTGTCCTGCATCTTCTTCCAGACTCTGTATGTCAGGTTCCCCAAGTAGCGAGACACATGAATCAAAGCTCCAGAAGGCGTCTGTGGATCCGGCTGTGAGATCTGGACTCTGGAAGAACATTCAGGAGTCAGAACTGCAGGATTCAGAAGCAGAGAGAGCAGAGACACCAGCAGATCACTCACCTTTCCATCGAGACTGGAAACTCCTGCAGAACAAACACACAACTGATCATCAAGAGCTCAATCCATCATCAATCAATCAATCACTGATCTGAAATCAGACCTTTAGAAAGCAGACGTCATTGGCTTTCAGCATCTCCTCCGTGTCTTTGATCGTGTGTGAAAGAGCTGAGATGTGTGTGTTCATCTCCTCCAGCTTCTCCTTCATCATCTGCTTCTTCTGCTCCTCTTCCTCTCTTAGTGCAGTGATTGTAGCTTCTTCTTCATCTCGGAGAAACTGATGAAGCCTCTCAAACTCATGTTTAATCTGACGCTCTGTGTGATCGGCTTGAGTCTGAAAACAAATCACAGACACATTTAATAGTCAACATACAAAAACATCACATCAAAAATATTTAAAATAGACTTAAGTACAGTTAAACCCAGAAGTTTACAAACATTTTTTTTAAAATAAATGTCTACATTTATTTATTTCTACATATAAATTCTACATTTACAAATTTACATTTGCTAAATGCCAGAATAATGAGATAATTGTGTTTTAAGAATTTTATATTAATTTCTAGACAGTCAAAAGTTTACATGTACATACATTTCCTTGGTATTTTTTTTAGCTTTGCTTTTAAACTGTATAACTTTCAAACATTCAATGGTCAAATGTTTTGGGTATCCTTCCACAAGCTTCTCACAATAGTTTGAAGGAATTTTGGCCCATTCCTCCTGACAGAATTGGTGTTACCGAGTCAGATTTTTTGGCTGTCTTGCTCGCACAAGCTTTTTCAACTCTTCCCACAAATTTTCTATAGGATTGAGATCAGGGCTTTGGATTGGCCACTCCAAAACATTCACTCTGTTTTCCTTAAAGCATATATTAACTAATTTGGCAGTATGCTTAGGGTCATGGTAGACCCATTTGTGGTCAAGTTTTAATGTCCTGGCTGATGTCTTGAGATGTTGCTTCAGTATTTCTACATAAAGTTCTTTCTTCATGATGTCTTCTATGCTGTTTAGTGGACCAGTCCCTCCTGCAGCAAAACAGCCCCACAACATGATGCTGCCGCCCCCATGCTTCACAGTTGGGATGGTGTTCCTAGGCTTGTAAGCTTTCCCCTTTCTCCTCTAAATGTAACACTGGTCATTATGGCCAAACAGTTTAATCTTAGTTCCATCAGACCACAGGACATGTCTCCAAATATTTTTTTTTTTCCCAGTGTAATTTAGAAAATTGTAATCTGGCTTTTTTGTTGATTCTGGCTTGTTGATTTTCCCATGTTGTCACACAAGGAAGCAGTGTGTTTGGGGTTTCCCTTAAATACTATTCTACAGTTCCAGTTGTGCTTCCAATTAACTCAAATGTTGTCAATTAGCCAATCAGAAACCTCCAAATCCTTGACACCATCATCTGAGCTTTTTCAGAGGCATAATAATCTTATTGTATGTAAACTTGACTTACAGGAAAAGTTATAACAATCTCTTTAATATTTCTCTCTCATTATTCTGCTATTAAGCACAACAGAAACAAATGTGATCATCCTAATTTACCTAAGTGAGAAAAAGTTCAGTTAACATCTGACTTTTTTATATGGTTATGCGTCTTTTTATACAGTGTCTGTAAACTTCTGGTTTCAACTGTATATAAAAGATCCAGAAGCCAACTGATGTTTATCATTAGCAAAAGTCACTACCTGGAATCCATTATACCAAATATAGCAAGTCCGGAGTTGGAAAGTAATGAATTACATTTACTCACGTTACTGTATACAAGTAGTTTTTTTGTGAATTTGTACTTTTTAGGGCAGTGTTTAAAATCTTTACACTCATTGCTGAGTCTTGTTATCTGTTTAGTAATTGCGTGTTTTCCTTGCCTTGCCTTCCGTGTTTTGAACCTTTGCTTTGTTTGATTATTCCTGTATGCTGCCTGCCTTCTGACCATTTGCCTGCTATTTCGACTACGACTCTGGATTGCCCTCATACATCTGCTTGCTCCTGTGTTGATCATTGCTTGCCTGACAATTCTGTCAATAAAACCCTGCATTTGGATCCTCACCCCTGTTGTCAGTAACTATGTTTGTATCCAAAAATGCAAATAAACTTTATGCGCAAAACTAGATTATTGCATAATAGTTGTGCGAATGAAGCAGCGTTTCCATCCAATGAGTCAAAGCAAACAAAGTTGTCACTTCCTAATTAACTGGTGCCAAATATCAACAGTAAAAACTGCACTTGCTGCAGTAGGAGAAGCTGCATCAATCTTTTCTAAATGAATGCGCCTCAGAAGACAATTCTGACAAGCAGTGAGCGCGCATTGGCGTTTGAAGGTGTCAGAAACGAAGCACAGGCGCTCTTGATTCTGGAGGTCATTAACAATATAATAACACATACTGTAACAGTAAGGCATTTTATAATTCAGTTCAATTCAGCTTTATTTGTCTATAGCGCTTTTACAATGTAGATTGTGTCAAAGCAGCTTCACATAAATGGTCATAGTAACTGGAACAGTGTAGTTCAGTTTTTTAGTGTTTAAGTTAATTTCAGTTTAGCTCAGTTCAGTGTGATTTAAAATCATTACTGAGAGTTCAAACACTGAAGAGCAAATTCATCAATGGGTGGATCTACCGATCCTGAACCATGCGAGGCAGTGGCGACAGCAGAGAGGGAAAAAAACTTCACCTGATAGGAGAGTGAAAAAAAAAAAAACCTTGAGAGAACCAGACTCAGTTGGGCACGACCATTTTAATTTCTCCGCTGGCCAAAAGTCTTGTACAGAGCTGCAGTCTAAGCGGTGGAGGCTGGCCAAATGACCAAAACAACATTTCAGATGTTTATAATGTGCTCACCCTGACACTTTATCCATTCACACACACATTTTAAGCATCACATGACCTCTGTTAACAAAATCACATGACCTTTTTTAATGCTCATGATGGAGTTTGTGCGATAAAAGTGTTTCCATCGTGCACATCTTTTCTTATCGAATAAAAAGTTTATCCTACCCAGTTATGCTCATTAGTTTTTTATGCACATTTTCAAAATTTATGCGCATCAAGGCGTTTCCATCAACTGTTTTTTTTTTATGCGCATTTGCAAAATAAAACCTAAAATAGGTGGATGGAAACATAGCTAGTGTCACATCCCTGGTTACAGAAGGCTCAGCATTAAGTGTCTAAGTGAGCCGTATATATGTGTGTGTAATCAGTACTTTGGCAGCATCAGCTGTGTGTTTGGATTCAGTCAGGATCAGGAACCGGTTGTTTGTGTGTGTGTGTTGCATGACTGGGTCTTGTAGTCTATTCTGCCCCTACTAGGATGACTGCTAAAGTGCTTGTGCCTGGCTAGCTCAACAGATAGCTAACAGGCTCCTCCAAACAAGACTAGGACGCCAGATGTTCAATGAGTTTATTTTACTTGAAAGAAGCACTGTAAAACTAACCATACAAAAAGAATGTCAAAATATTATCCATGCAATTTAAGTATTAAATGCAGATTTAACATATAGCTTTGCATACAAGTGAGTAATCTTACTGTTTTATTCTTTAGGAAAAGACATTTCTATACATGTTTCTTTAAATTACACTCCAAATGAAGAAAACAAAATACTCACAGATTTATATTTTCAAGAGCTTTTGTAACATAAACTCGCATGGCAGCAAAATACAGGTCTGTTGAATCTCCTCCATTGCAACACTAACTACAGCAAAACTAGAGGTACAATCCAGAGGTACAAACTTAATACAACTCATTTTTTTTCTATGGCCACTAGATGTCACTCTTGAATGTTTTGCTAAGATCAGCACATAGTCCATAAATGGCGAATTTGTAGTCCTTTAGCGGTCTGCAGCTACTAGATCGCTAGTGATCATGACAATTACATTCTGCCCAACTGTGTTTGTAACATTGCTAATGTTCCTTAGCTCCAGGATTAGATATTAAAGTGGGCTTGGAGCAAAATTGTCTATATGCACAATTTAGCTAACACTGCAGATGTAGCATTAGAATTTTTTGCAAAATTGTTAAATATGCTTCCTTGTCCTCATTTGTAAGTCGCTTTGGATAAAAGCGTCTGCTAAATGACTGAATGTAAATATAATAATCTGTAAAGTATTTTGAAGAATTATATAATTTTTGGTTATTGGTCTTTAATTTTAAAGTTGTTTATTTAAATAAAAACAATTGGAGAGTTATTTCCTTCTGTCCCTTTTGAGAAATATACTCTTTACTCATGAGCACATTTTTAATGATTTAATTTTAACTTTCACTTGAGTAGATTCATAGACATGTAAGTTTACTTTTACTTAAGAATATTTTTTGAAGTAACAGTACTTTTACTTTAGTAGAAGGTTTTTATACTCTACACCTCTGAGGAAGTCATTGCATCTCCTGCAGCTGCAATGAAAGTGACTCTTGATTTTGTTTCTCACCTTGATGTGTTGAACTGTTTTCTCAAAGTCTCCTTTAATTTTTTCCTTATGTTGAAGTTTCTCTTGTAAAAACTTCAGTGCTGTAATGAGCTCCTCCTGCAATTGAATGATTAAAAATATATAAAATGCATTATGACTGTGAAGAGAAGAAATCATTTGGTGCTGTGATTTATTCTACAGTATTTTATAAGCACATTTCCAACTAAACTGATTCATAAATTAATATATACCAGGGGTTCTCAACTGGTTTGACCATGGGACCCACATTTTTCATGGTCATCAAGCCGCGACCCAAATTTTTAGGAATTATAATATGATTTTAGGAATTATAATTCATTTGTATTTAATTGTTAACATACACAACTAGTGACTGATAAATTATGAGAAAATCACCAAGGCTTACAAATAAACAATATTTTACTGCTGTCATTTAACAAAATGTATCAAATTATAGAAATATTACAGAGTAAAAATGCCAAATACTGTAAACAGTGGTAAGGGTGAGGAAAAGTTAAGTTACTATTAACTAAACTGAACTGTTTATAAAACATTAACACTGATCTGGTTGAACTGAACAGAAACCAGCAAACTGAAGTAAAATTATTAAAAAAATCATAACCATTTTATAATAATCAGCAGTTATTTGCTGTTCTGTTTTTGTGTGGGCTTTCTTGGCCTTTGCTACACGGTGAGCACAGTAAGATGTACTTGTTTTAAACATGAAGATGATCGGCACTTTTGTGATGCCCTCAGCTATTAGAGTCGTCTAAGAAAATAGTCCACAGGTTTTTCCTTGCTACTGGGATGTTTGGTTTCTAAATGTCATTTTAATTTAGGTTTCATGCTCTCTTGTGAAAGCACCTCACTACATATGACACACTGAAGTTTTAAGATTTTCTTGTCGTCAAAATATGTAAATCCACACTTTACATATTCGGGGTCGTATTTGCGCTGGAAATTCACATGTCAAAAGAGTATATGCCGAGCTAACGTTAGTGTTGTTCCTATACTGATAAACTTCCGGTGACCTGTTATTGTGAACTTTTTTCCCCTTTTATACAGTTCCTTTTACAGCATCGATGTTGTAATGTCATTAAAATACATTCATTTAGTTGCTCAAGCGTAAAACGAGAAAAAAAGCCATTTACTCGTGTAACGACGGGGAGTGACACCAACAACAGAAGGTAGGATCCAAATGCAGGTTTAATCGTAGTCAGGCAAGCAATGGTCAATACAGGTGTAAACAGATGTATGAGGGCAAATCCAGAGTCGTAATCGAGGTACAGGCAAAAGGTCGAAAGGCTGGCGGCTAAACAGGATAACTAGGATACAAAGCTAGGTACTAACACGGAGAAACAAGACAGGGAGAAACGCGTTGTAATGTCACTTAACAGTAAACAAGACTCGGCAACCTGAAGGGGTGAATGTGTGGCTTATATAGTGTGTGTTAATCAGTCTCTGAAAGTACTCAGGTGTGCAAATGTAATCAAGCTAGATGAGTGAGCAGGCGTGAGTGTCTAGGAGAAGTGCATGTGTGCATATGTAGTCCAGAAGAAGGCAGATATGTAGTTTTATGAGTGAGTGTTTACCAGCAACATCTGGTGGTTGTTCGCTGGTGAACATGACAACTCGCACGCGCCCCTCAGAATCAGCAGGCTAGCGCAGAAGCTCCATTAAATATACAGGGGTAAAATAAATGCTCATATTATAAAGACATGGCGCGGGGAATGTAATTTAATGCAGTGCTTCTTGTATAATCTGAGGCCCACTTTATATCAAATATCACGCCAGTGGAGATCGCTGATTTTTAAAGAAAACAGACCTTAAACACGCCGGTTTTTGCATTGCAGTTCGCCAAAAGCGCTTAACCCAGGTTACTGGCAAATTAAAAGCACGCGCATTTCAAAATAAAAGTCCGATATAAGCAAAATAAGTTAAATATTAAACTTTTGTTGCTTGTTTTTGATCACACACTCCACGACCCACTGAAAATGTTCCCGCGACCCACTTTTGGGTCGCAACCCACCAGTTGAGAAACACTGATATATACTGTAACATAAAACAACAGTGTAATAAATCAAAGTGCAGCTTATTAAGACTATTTGTTTTATAAAACAAAGAGATACTCAATAACAACTCCTGTGTAAAAATATACTTGACCAAAATGCACAAGATGCAACTGGTCAGTTATTACATCAGGTCTTGTCTTACCTTGTATGATGAAGCCACTTCACTGATGGGTCTGAATTTGTGATTGTCGTGTTGTTGTACAGTAACACACATCACACACGCAGGCTGTTTGTCCCCCAGACAGAAGAGTTTGAGTTTCTCACTGTGTAAACTGCAGATCTCCTCAGATCCTGATGAACATCTCTCATTTCTCTCCTTCAGGAACAACTCACACAGGTTTTTTAATGTAAGACTAACTGGAGGTTCTTCTTTTGATGATCTTCTCCGGCAAACAGGACACTCCTGAGTATTCTTGGTTCCCCAGAACTGCTGAAGACACTCTTTACACACACTGTGACTGCATGATAAAACTACAGGATTCTTGAAGATTTCACAGCACACGGGACAAGAAAGTTCTTTGAATACATTTAGTGAAGCCATTTCCACTGTTTGAGCTCCAGAAATCTCAGCTTTACGTTCACTTTCTAAATGATTATAAAAAGTAAACAAAGATCTGCCACCTGTTTAGAGACAAATATCACAGAAATCCTTCTTGAATGGGGTTTCTCTTCATTCTTAGCTGATTTCCAATTGTGTTTAATTCCCGTATAGAAATGAAAAGAGTCTGAGTGACAGAAAGCAGAAATAATAAGTCTCTTCCTGGTCAGAGCTGTAAGAGGGCAGATCTCTGATCTCCTTTTGTGTGTGTGATAAAACAGGTCAAACAACTTCAGGATTCTAGTTCAAATTTTAACAAAAAACATCTAAAAAAAACTTTATAAAAAAATTAACTAACGAAAATTAAAGGATTTTGACTCTTTAATTGCCAAAATTCACAAATAATGTCAGAGATTTGGTGTAAAAAACAAAAAAAAAAAAACAGAAAATTACATATTTTAATATAAAAAGTAATTGTGGACTGGATTTTTAAACCTTTTATCAGTCTTGGACATCTGAACGTTTAGTCACAATATTTTTTGTTGTTTGACCCTTAAAGCCAAGGTACGCATTCACCTTGAGAACCTCATCTCTGTTCCCAGGCCCGGATTGGCTAATCGGGAGGACCGGGAGAATTCCCGGTGGGCCGGTCTGTTTTTTGGCCGCGAGGGCTGATGTCCCTAGCTCCAGAATCTGTTGCTCTCAGCAGTCACACTTTTTAAATTAATTATTATTTTTTTACTTGACCACAGTCTTCATATTATTCTTATTTTACCGCAGCTCTGCTCTTTTTATATATTTTCTCGCAGCCTGGTTAATGATGATATAACTCAGACGAGCCATCTCTCGATGCACAGCTGTTGTGGTCCAGTGGTTAGCACGTTAGGTTACCACACTGCGGATTCGTGTTTGAACCTCGTCTGAGTATTTTATTTTTTTTTTTTTTCATTTTTATTGTTAAGACATAATACTGTAAGGGTTGTTGAACATTTGAAGTTCTAAAGCAGCTGTTTTCTCAAAAAAAAAGACGTGATAGTGTAATTAGAAACTGAATTGTAAATGTCCTTATTTTAATATAGTCAGTCGTGAACTGAGGTGGGCCGGTCTGAGGCTTGAAACTCCAGGGCTGAAAAAGAGTCCCACTCCGGCCCTGTCTGTTCCCTAATGCAATGACTTCAGTTTTCTCTTTCTTTAACTGAAGAAAGTTTTGGCACATCCAACTCTTCAATAAGTGTTAAATGTGTCAACAGGGCTGTAGTCATTTGGTAATAAGGCTAAGTAGATTTGAATTTCATCAGCATAGCTGTGGTAGGAGTTTTGGTTATTTCTTATTATTTAGCATATACAAGTTGAACAGGAAAGGTGTCAGAATCGAGCCTTGTGGAACTTTGATCACTGTGATCTATGGTCACCCATACTGACATAGTAACCTCTTTCTTTAAGGTAAGATCTGAACCATTTGAGGATTGTGCCAGACAGCCCAACCCAGTTTTCCAGCCTATCCAGAAGTATGCTGTGATCGACAGTGTCAAATGCAGCACTGAGATCGAGCAGTACCAGCACCGTTAGTTTGCCTGAATTTGTATTTAGGCGAATATCATTAATTATCTTTATAAAGGCGCTCTCTTTACTGTGATGTGCTCTGAAAACAGATTGAAAATTGTCTAAACATCCCTCAGAGTTTAAGAACTTGTTGATCTGGTTAACAACACATTTACAATGACTTTGATAATGAAAGGGAGATTTGAGATTGGCTTGTAGTTGCTCAATAGGGTGTTTTCCTGGTTGCTCTTTTTCAAGACTGCAGTTTTAAATAAGTTTGGAAAAGTTTTGCCCTGAAATTGTCAGGGTTTCAGGAAGGATGAGGGAGTGAGGACTCAAATGCAACAGAAGATGGTATTTATTAATAAAAATAAAAGAAAAAGGACAACAAAAACCACCCCGAGGGGGAAAAACATAACTATAAAACAAACACTCAAACAAACTTGGATGGGCTGGCAGGACAAACAGGACTTGATCTCACAGGACATGGAAATAACGACGACGAACTGGCACAGAACAGAAAACATGAGGGGATTATAAAGCAAAAGTAAATTGACACAAACAGGTGAACATGACAAACTAATAATGAGTTAACAAGGAGGGTGGGACTAGACAATAGACGGGAGAGCGCATGACACAAAGAGAAAACACAAGCCATGCGCTCACACAAAACAGGACAAGAACATGCAGCCAATGAGAGAACTCATTAACCGCATGTTCATGACAAGACAAGCACAACACTGAAGCACACGACAAAAGCACGTGACCACAATGTAAATATATAGCCACGTGCTTTGACAACAGACGCAAGACACGAGCACACGATGAATGAAAACACTCACAGTGCGCTCACACACGCAGCGTGCATGCTTCATCCCAGCGCCGACCAAAACCGAAACCAACAAGACTGAGACGCTGGGAATGAAACACCACGCTGCAGACAGATGAACACAAACACGAGTGCAAGAGAGCGCATCCGAGGCACACAAAGCCCGCGCGGCCGCATCAAGCGGGATCGCGCACACTCTGCGTACACCCACGACGGCGCGCGCACACAGAGACAGAAACTAGTGCTCGACCCAAGAAAACTTGAGCCGAGCACAACAGGATTAGACATGACTAGTGTCCGGATTCTGCCACCAAAACAAGAATTTACAAGACCAGAGTGGCAGAACCCTGACAGAAATGGGTTCTCGGGGCCCTGGTGCTGTGGTAAAGGCCAGAGGGCTCTCATAGATGGAGTGCAAAGTGGGCACAGAGGCTGTTTACCTGCAGATCATCGTTGAGTGCTGAGACTTGAAGCTGTTCTGATATGTCACAGTCTATCTGAGGAGAGCTCATTGTACAGGGCACAGGCTGCAATGTGTCCATGAGCAGTGGTTGTTGTGGCTGCGTGGTGTTATCATTGTCCTTGTGAGATGTGTCTGATTCTAAGTCCTGTAGTCATTCTGACATTTACCAGGAGTGTGTGTACCATATAGGTTGAGTTCGGTGGCACATACAGCAAATGGACGATGGAGGGAGATATTTATTCTCCTTTTGGACAATCCTAAAAATATTTCTGTAATCCTAGACTAAATTCTGGGGTCTTTGATCGTTGGTTTGACATGTTCACCAACAGCCACAACAGTCAAAGATTTCAGAGCACCAAACCAAGAATCAATAGGATGCCTAATGACGATGGGATCAGTGTGACAACTTCAAACCAGCGAGGAGAAATGTCAGAAATGTCTTCTGGTTTAATTATTGAGGTGTGAGAAAAATGACCGCTGCAGATTGTTTATGTTTTTGTGGGGTTTTATTTGAAAATGTGTGATTGTGAAAGTGTCACAAATGGATGACGTCAAACTGGGTTTGGTGGGTTTGTTTGCATGTGTGTGAGTTTGGTTTGTATTCACTGTCATTCAGTCTAACATTATAATATTATGTTCATGCAGTCTGACAAGATTCAGTTGTTCAGGATTATAAAAACATGCACAGTGTGAGTTGGGCTTAATGTGGAATAAATATTGAAAACAAGATGAAAGAAGATTCAAACCTAAAGGAGTAACATTCACTGACTATTATATGTGTAACCCTTGGCTATGAAGATATAAAGATTATAAAATAAAACCCGATTACGTTACCTAGGTTACTACCCAGAAATATATATTACAAAAAGCACTTGTTCGATTAACTCAAAAAGTTACAACAATATGAAGGATCCTTCTGGTTCATTTTTGATTAAAGACAGAGACATGACTTACAAAAACAAAATACTAAATTTATAAAATTCACCATGGCATACTCAGTATTAAAAACTGTTTTAAAATGGCGTCATCACAATTACCACTTAAATGCCCAGGCACAAAGAGACCACAATAAATGACACTAGCAAATAGGGGACATTCCACACAGCAAATCCGTATATAAAAATGATTAAAGCAAGTGACAAATCACACCCTTAAAATTGATCAAACCCACTTCAAATCAGCATCAATTTTACAAGCACAAAAATCAGAAAACATAAAATTCACAATGCAGCGTAGTGATCACGTTGAATATAGACGTTAAATCAGGTTCAAAATACAAAAAAAGTGTCACCATAATATTTAAGGGAATGTCCACGAGGAGCAATCACAGCAGGGGACAGCAATTGATACAGGTTTAAAAGGCAGCCGCAAATAAATGATACGAAACAACAGCTAGCACCTTCAGGCCGCACCTGAAAATGCTAATTTAAGACAGATGAAGGATTTTTAAAAAAAACAAACCCTTCTTTAAAACCCACAAACAAACTTCTTACCTCCTAGATGAGTTTCATAGGCTAGAGCACACTTTGCCAACAATGCACACACACTTTCTTAATAATAAAGGTTTTCTTTAGACTATTTAAAATTATGAGAAAGACTAAAAAGCAACCAACTCACCAAGGCTAGAGCAGACTTTGCGAATGGCACCCGTCACCAGTGGTGTAAAGTAACTAATTACAAATACTCAAATTACAGTAATTGAGTAGTTTTTCTCAGAAATTGTAATTTACTAAGTAGTTTTATAAATGTATACTTTTACTTTTCCTAGAGTACATTTTTAGTGCAATATCGGTACTTTTACTCCTCTACTTTCCTTCAACCTGCAGTCACTACTTTATTATTTCTTGTCTGAGGATTTGAAAAATTAGCCCTTTAATTCCTGTCCAATCAAATCACACATAGAAGGTAAATAGCATCATAATGAACTACCTCAAGATATGTGCACTTTATAAATGTAACAAACTGTTTGGAAGCATTGAAATTGTCTAAGAAGACGTCCACAATCTTTACACACATTGACCCAGAGACTGTATAGATGCAGGTCACTGTTGAGAAGATGACGAATGTTTACTGTATGATGACAGAAATGGCCTTAAAGGGCACCTATGGTGAAAAATCTACTTTTTGGACATACATGTGTGTAAGTATAGTGTATATACTGTCATATTGGGGTGAAATAAACACACTCAGTCCTTTTTTTAAAATTTAACAACATATAAACGGTGGACCAATTGGAGCGGTTTTCAGATCAACCACAACTTTACGTAGGAGTGCGGTCCCCCCGCCCACCAATATTGATTGACAGCTGCGCGCATTAACATGTCGCC